GGTGGATCTGGGTTGGCTCCGTCTCTTTAGCAGAGCCTGTCACGGGGAGGCTGGGTGCCTGACCTCCTTGGGAGCCTGTTACCCTGGGACACAACCTGTGACCTGTCAGAAGACTGTTATCACGTCCCCCATCGGCCTTCTCTTCTCTAGACTAACACACCCAGTTCTTTCAGCCTTTCCTCAGAAGTCAGGTTGCCATTTTTGTTGCTGCCCATTAGACTCTCTGCAATTTTTCCACCACATCTTTCTTAAAGTGCGGGGTCGAAAACTGGACACAGTTCTCCATCGAAGGCCCCCAATGCCAAGTAATTACCTCCCATGTCTGACATACGATAAATCTGGTAATACAGCCCAGAGTGACAGTTGCCTTTTTTCACAACAGTGTCACACTATGGACTCAAACTCAATTTGTGATAACCCGAGATCCTTTTCTGCAGTGCTACTGCCTCACCAGTCACTCCCCAGTTTGTAGTTGGGCATTTTCTTTCCTAGGTGCAGTACCTGCACTTGTGTTTATTGAATTTCATCTTCTAGATTGCAGGCCAATTCTCCATGTTATCAAGATCATTTTGAATTCTAATCCTTTCCCCCAATGTTCTTGCAACCCCTCCCAGCTTGTTATCACCTGTAAATTTTATAAGTGTACTCAATGCTTCATCAACAAATTCATTAATGAAAATATAGAACAGTACCCAACGCAGCACAGACCCCTACAGGACCCCCCCGAGATATGTCCCCTCAATTTGACCATAAAACTATTGATAACTACTCTCTGCGTATGGTTTTTTTTTTCAAAGTTGTGCAACCACCTGATAGTAATTTCATCTAGACAATATTGCCCTGGTTTGCTCATGCAAGTGTCCTGTGGGACAGCATCAAAAGCCTGACGAAAATCAAGACATTTACTATTTCTCCCCATCCATTAGGCTGGTTCGTCTGTCAAAGCAGGAAATTAGATTGGCTTGGCATGATTTGTTCTTCACAAACCCATGTTAGCTCTAACGTATCCCCTTCTTATCCTCCAGCTGCTTTCCAACTGATTGTTCGATCATTTGTTCCAGTATCTTCTGAGGTATGGAAGTTGGGCTGATTGGTTTAGAATTTGCCACGTCCTCTTTGTTCCCCTTTTTAGAGATGGGAATAACATTTGCCCTTCTCCAGCCCTCTGGGACCTCACCCATCCTCCATCAGTTCTCTAAATAATCGTTGATGGTTCTGAGATTGCTTCAGCTAGTTCCTTAAGTGCCCGAGGGTGTATTTCATCAGATCCTGTCGATTTGAATACATCTATCTTATTTTGTCCTCTTGGTTTCTGCTCTGTATTTAGCTGCGGGACCATCACCGACACCAGACCGGGATCCGTCAGCACCATCTGCTGCAACGGGCTGGAGGGCCGCTACGTCACCATCGTCATCCCGGGCAGGGCGGAGTATCTGACCCTGTGTGAGGTCGAGGTCATAGCTCAGGGCTGCACCCCACCAGCAGGGGGTAAGGAGCTGGCACAATGTGAATGGAAACTTGTTCTTTTATGTTCTACCCCATTCCCTTCTGCTCCAACCTCTGCCTAGTGAGACAGCAGAAACCCTGGGAGACTCTTCCCTTCCCACCACTGACCTGGGCAGAGGCTCCAGCTGGGTATGGGATGTGGGGGGACTGAGAAGGGCTCTGCCTGGGTGAGACCCCAGCACCGACCTGCTGTCACTCCCGTCCCCTGGGGTCATGGCTCCCACTATGAACCTGGCTCTCATGCAGTGGCTGCTTTGTGTCACTGCTGGAAAGCGGCTCTGGCTCCATGTGGGACAAAATGTGTCTAGAGCCCCCCAGCAATGGGCACGTCCCACCTCCCCTCTTCTCGCCCTCTGATTCCAGCTCGGAACTTGGCGCTGAGGCGCCCGGCCACTCAGTCCTCCACGTTCGAGAATAAAGAGACAGGAAAAGCCGTGGCTGGAAAGGCCGTGGATGGAAAACGCGATGGGAAGTGGGCACAAGGCTCCTGCAGCCACACGCAGCTCGACACAGAGCCGTCGTGGATCGTGGACTTGGGCAGGCGTCAGTCTGTCTCCGCGGTGATCGTGAAGAACAGGGAAGATGAATGCTGTGGGGAGAGAATCAGGGGAGCCCAGATCCGCGTGGGAGACTCCTTGGCTGACCATGGCAAGCAGAACCCCATGTGAGTTGCTTTCTCAGGGCATGTCCTCAGTTATCTGCTTCCTCGGTTAATGACCCTGACTGATGAAATGTGAACCTTATTTCTAGTCGGAGTTGGGTTGTGACGGGAACAGGGACACACCCCGTCTCCTACAGTCTGTCATTCACTCCATGCTTTGGCCTCCGCAGGCTCAGAGTTAAAGGGTCGTCCGTCCTGCTGCCAACTCGCCTGTGCTCCCTAATCATAGCCTCTCGCTCTTGTCTTCTGCTCTTTGCAGCTGCGGGACCATCACCAACAGCACACAAGGATCCCTCAGCACCATCTGCTGTGATGGGATGAAGGGCCGTTACATCACCATCACCATCCCGGGCAGGGAGGAGTATCTCACCCTGTGTGAGGTCGAGGTCTACGGCACCCAGCTGGGGGATACGCGCTAGGAAGGGGGAGTGACACAGTCCCTGGTGCGGGGAAGCACCTCACCCTGCACTGGGGGCGGGAGCGGGGAGGTTGCAGGAATGAGCCGCTGTCCCCTAATAAACTCCACTGGTCTCTTCCTGCGTCTCTCCTGTCGTTTGTCTCCTTCCTGCGCCATTCTGGCCATGTCCCCCTCCCCTTCCCTGCCCCTACAGGCAACGTGGTTCTGATCCCACACGAGCCAGAGGGGTCTCGGTTCCAACCCCCAGAACAGCTTTGGGTTAATCAGG